AAACATGCTCCATAGCTTGCAAAACTTGAAGAATGACCCAATTTCTACTTATTTTGAAAAATCTGTATATTCACATTATACATCATTCATTTTCATCTACGTCATTGGTGAAGATGCATTGAAGGAAGATATATGTTCAATTATAGTCTCGACAAAAAAATTTATTTACGCATTGACATGTAAAGTACATGGACACACATTCGCTCAAAAAAATTTCGATTTTACCTCCTGGTTTTTTTGAGAGCGTAGTTTAATATGCCATGCTGAATACTTAGTGACAGAGTTTATCGTGTTGACTATCAAAAATAATTTATTTGACTTTTTATAAAACTGTAGCCTTTAGCTAATTGACAAGTTAGTTAGGATGCTCCTGTATTGGATGCATATATAAAGAAATCTATAACATTGAATACTTAGTGACAGAATTTATCATGTTGACCTATCCAAAAATAATTTATCGTGTTGACAGGAAATCTGGTGTTACAATGGCGACTAGGACTGCTATGAGATATGTATCTCGCAGGCTCTCAAGCAGTGGCCGAGTACTGAGTGAGGAGGAAAAAGCTGCAGAAAATGTCTACATCAAGGTAGAGCTGAATTTTGACACAAGACTAGTTATTTTCATTCAACAGAGCTGCGGCAATTGCTGCATGTTTGGTTGCATTTGCAACATCTTATTCATGATGATTAACCCTCCCCCTTCCCCCTGAAAAAGAAAAAGCTCTCTCTGTGTGCCCAAAGCATGAATTAACACATCATTTGTGATGGTTTGCAAATCTATGGGTAGATATCAATACTGAATTCATGAGTCAGTCATATAAATTTTCCTTTGATGCTACATATGGAATTGGACAAATGTGTATTCTGATTTAGTAATACAGACATTTTCATTAATTTCTATATTGCTTGAGATAATAATTGTCTAGTATTGGGTAGACACATTTTATCAAGTTAAATTTGCTTTAATTGAAGTGAATTTATTTTTTATATTTAAGGAACACGTGATACTGTTCATATTGAACCAAATTGTTTGCATATCTTTATGCACATATAATATATTTACTGGTCAGGTCTTCCCCAAAAAGAAATTTGCTTTTCTGTTTTACTATCTAACATCCTATAAAGTTATTTCCTCCAATTATCTTCATCCTTGAGTCATATGATGCATTCTGAGTGTATAAGTGATCATCAGGAATGGCCTTTGATTTACTTGATGAGACCAATAGTATGGCTTCTTTATTCTGTGAAAGTTTAATTGCATGAAATGATAAGCAATTATTTGCAAGAGAGCCAAGTACTACTTTCTCTTATTAATTCATCCCGAGCTGTGTTTTAAGGGCGAAGGCACAGGTGAGGCATTTAATCAATAGGGCATATGCTCTACAACCACAAGTTTTTGATTTCGACTATTTTTGCAAATCATAAAATGTATTTTAAAGTTAAATA